TATGAGAGGCGACCAGTCAACGTTTCTCTCTTACATCAATGTTTCTCTCTTTCTCTTTCCCTCTCTTCCTCTCTCTCTAAAATCAATTAGCATGTTCTCTGGTGAAGATAAAAAAAAAAATAAGTTTCTCGATTCCAAATTCTCCTCCATTTCCCATCTAATTCATCCATTCCTCTTCGAAGAGAAACTTAACATGATTGTCTAGGGACATCCACACTGGAAGACGTCTTAGGCCACACATTAAATACATGGCAACACATAATCACACCAAAAAACTCTCCTACTGTTTTTAGTACATTTCCGGTTTTGCCTTGGGCCGCATTCACAGCCGTCCTGGGCCGCGGGTCGGACAACCTGGTACAGACACTGCTTTTCCGTATCTGCTGTTCTCTCCCTGCCCGCTTCCATCTGACGGCCACCGTCCCATAGAGATGTGGCCTTTTATTAGCTCCCCAGTGACACGCGTGTTCCCCAGCCCCGCCCGTCGGCCACAGGCGACACAGCGGCCGGCGCTCGTTCCTGACCCGCCTTCCTCTCCGGGTTCGGATGGGCGCCATCCTCCCGGCTCCCCCCCCCCCCTCCCGCCCCCCCGCCCCGCCCCCCCCCCGCCCCTTGACCTTTCCTCCTCCATCCTCTGTGCCGGCTCAGCTGCTCGATGCCGATCACCCCAACTCGTCTCTGCCCTGAACAGCCCAATACAGGAGCCACTGGCTGCTGCCTAAATTTAAAATAACTTAAATGACGTCAAATGAAAATTCAGTTCCTCGCGCTCACTAGCCCGGCTCACGTGCTCAGGAGGCACAGCAGAGGGCAGAAAACACAGGCCTGAAGCCTGTCCCTCCCTGCGCGAAGCCCTGGTGGACGGGCCGCCTCAGGCTCCCTGGCCCAGCGACCTCACTCGGCCCCTGGCTGTGAGCACCACCTCTACGCTGAGCGCTCAATCTACTCGTCCAGCTCGGACCCCGGCTTTGGACTGCGACCCCAAACTGCCGCTCTGCCACCACCGCCTGGATGTCTGACAGGCTCTTCGCGCTGACACACACACGAGAACACTTCCTCTTCATCCTCTCCTCCCCGTGCTCGGCCGACAAAAGCTTGTTTCTCTTTCGGGCTCTCTGTTCTCAGTACGTGACACAAACCCACCAGTTTTGAAGCCCAAATTCTAGGAGCCACCTTGACTCCCAATATCTAAACCATCAGCGAGTCTTACTGACTCTGGAAAATGCAGGTCAAGTCTGTCCCCTTCGACCTCCACTGTCACCTCCCTCGTCTAAGGTTCTCGTGCGGGTGAGTGGCCTACTCGCGTGAGACCCCCAGCACCTAAATCTAGCACACAGACTCTGGCGCCCATTCAACGCACTGACTCAATTAACGAGCACACGCCTACTGAACAGCACCCCATAATCTTACCTTTGAGTATATTCATGAAAAAGAGAGTCTTGCCATAGGAACTTGAGGAAATACATTTTAAAAAGATAAAAATCACTCTCCAGACGGACTTTACTTATGATTGGTTATAGCTCGGTATCATTATTCATTTCGACAACTATTCATTCATTTTTCAAGCTTTTCACAGCACCACAACCTGCCCCCGAGCCTCTGTTACCTGCCCTGTGGCTGTGACTTGCCTTCCCAAGAGAAGGTTTAGTAGTTGTTTCTTCCCACTCAGCCCTTCTTGCCTTTCCAGTCCATCTCCTTTTTTAAAAAATATTTATTTCTTTAGAGAGACAGCAACCCAAAAGCTATTATTTGCCTACCCAACAGTCATCTCTCCGCTACCTTCCTCCGCCTTCCTCCTCCCCAAGACAGAGCCCATTTTGCTCAGTACCCACCCTCCATCAACAGACCAGCTACAGCAGCTGCGCTGCATGTCTTCCCACACGCTACCCCCGCCAGCCCTGAGGTCTCATTCCCTCAGGAAGAAGCCGGTGGTATGAACATGGCCAGAGAACCGAGCGAGAGTCCACTGCGAGGGCTTCTAGACAAAGTATTCTTTATCCTTTAAAAAAAAACCACCAAGTGACAAGATAACCTCTCTTTTGGCTCTGGATATGGCCTTCTCTGGATGTATTTCTGAGATCGCTAACTTCTTCCTTTAGGTAGGAGGAGGGAGAGTCTTAGGTGGAAACCATCGCCAGGAACGGCAGGATAGACAAGTGAAAGAAAACAACATCTCATGTAGTATTCTTGCTTTTCCTACTGCGCCAGAGGCCCTACCCCTGAACTTCCAACCGTGAGTCAGTCAACCCAGGGGATTCTGAGTCCATCACAATCCTGCCTGCAAAGAGAGGAATGTTTGCCTGCTGGCCCTAGTGTGAGGATGCAGGGTTAAGAGGGTTAATGGGGGAAGACCGAGTCTGGGCCTGCTGGACACGCCCTCCCTAACCTGTAGATCTACAAGGGACTAAAAGCAAATTACACCTGGGATGAAGGGGATTCCCCGATCTTGGTATTTTTATATCGCCACAGTGTAGATGAACTAGACATAAAATAATACAAGTAGGATTGGGGAGGTGTTGGCTTTGTGGTTAGATTAAATGGATATTAATTGAAGGTCAACGCCTCCTCTATGCTGCCAGCTCCAGCCACTGAGCTCCCACTCCTCCCGGGATCCTGGCCGAACTTGAGTTGATCACCCTCGGCTACCCTGCTCAGGAGGTTAGAGAGCTCTGTGACAGCCGAGAACAAAGCGGGAGTATTGGGAAAGAGAAGATTTGCGTTGTTGACCCTCAGAAGGAATATACCTGCCAAGAAGGATTCCTTGTGGTTAATTGGGCCCAAATTCATCTTCAGAGCCCAGCAGCCATTGTGTGCAAAGGCCCCGCAGGTAGGGTGCAGCTCAGGAAAAAAACCACAGGCTGAACCGCCAGCCTCGAGCACTGAGTCCCTGTCGGCAGAGCCAAGCTTATAAAGGAGTCCCTGGGCTGCTACCTCCACCAATGGGCTGAGAGCTCCCCATCCAATCAGAGCTGCGCAGCTACACCGCAATTTGCATCTCATCCACCAGCCCAATCAGAGCAGCTCCAACCAATCAGGACCCATGATACCAACCAATCAGAACAGTGCTATTTTGACCACATTGTGCAGACTTGAGTTCCTCATTTGCATAAAAAATAGACCAGTCAGAAACCAGGGCAAGTACTTTATAAAAGGCAGCCTTCCCTTTGCCTCCTTGAAGGAACTTAAAAGTTTCCATCTGAGGTTGGTTCCGAGATTTGCAACCTAGTCACCTGCCTACAGTCTCTCCTTTTCCTGCGCCCCGGCCTGGGGACTCCTGTTGGCACTGAATTAGTGACAGTGACCTTGGTTGACAGATGAGCCCTGAATTCAATTCTTTCTATCAAGGTACTTTGCACTGGCAAACACTTTTTTTCAGTAAATATCTGCAAGCACAGCAGAAACATCTCCCTTGGCATTTTAAAAAGAAAGAAAACAAAAGCACTGTGTGCCACTGGGCCTCGGGTGGAATTCACCAATTCGGTAGAGCTGGAATATCTGCTGACTTGGGAGTTCCCAGGCCCTTGGGACGCCCAAGTGACCTGACCTCATCACGGCCGGAAATCCGACCTCCCCAGACATTAACTTCCGGAATATGAGCGTCCGCTTGGGCGGGAGCTGCGCAGATTCCAGAGTCCTCAGACACTGGACTTCCGCCTCCGGCCCTGAACCCCGCCCAGCGCAAGCAAGCCCCGCCCAGCAAGACAGTGTACACGTCGAGTTTGAGTCTCCTCAGTGCCCGTAGTTCCTGAACTATGACCGTGTCTCCGGGCTGGCCAGAGGCCATCACGCATGCGTCGTTCCTTTGAATGGGGACCCTCCTCATCCTGGCAGCGGCGGCAGGGGCGTTGGCAGTGGTCCTGGCCCTGCGGCTATGGCTCGTGCTTCACTCACGGGTCATCGTACCTCGGAAGTCTGTCAGCCTCATGGTGGTGGCCGGGTCCGGTGAGTAAGGGGCGGCGACCATCGGGCCGTGGTCGGGACTACAAACCCCAGAGTGCACTGCGGCACCGTCCCCTGGCCGCCTTAGCGCTTTGTGCGCATTGCACGCTGAGAGTTGTAGTTTCCCTGCGTCACCGGACCCGACCCCCAGCCCGGCCCAGGGGCGGTGGGCGGCTGCTGCCTGGCCCGGCTTTAATGACAAAGGAGTGCCTTGCAATGCTCTGTCATTAAGCCTTTCTTCAGCGTATAATAGTCTAATAAATTCTTCGTGAACAGAAAGGACGCAGGTGCCTTTTGGTGCTAACGTGCAACTTCCCTGAAAAATAGACTGCTGGTTTGCACGATCAATCTAGGCATTTCGTGTTTAGTTTAGGAATCACGATCCAGGAGGCGAGGCGGACTGTCACATTTATAAGCATACACAGCCCGCGAGGAGGAAACATCTACGTGCCATCCGTAGGACACCCGCACTGAGCACGTCCTGCCACAGCGAGAACAGCAGGCTGTCCCGGCAGGTGACCGCCTGTAAAGGGGGTCCCCAGCCCCGCGGGCGCTCACGCCTTGGAACGACAGCTGCGGCAGGGAGCTGCGCCACTCGCTGTGCGCAATTAGGAATGTAGAGGAATCCACAGAAAATGGCGGGGAACTTGCCAGAGTGAGATGAGAACTAGGCGGCCCGCGTGGTAAATAATTACAGCGGCCAACGCTCGCGCTCTGGCCGGGATCGGCAGGGGGGGCGGGGCGGGCGGCGGGTGCCACCAGCGCCGCGCGCCGAGCGGCGCCACCGACGAGCGCGGCGGGCGGGCCCGGGAGGCCGCCGGGTCCCTGCGGGTCCGGGGACGGGCGGCCCTGCCCCTGCGGGGAGGGGGCCTTGCGGGCTGTGCGCGGATCCGCGCTTTTGAATGAGATCGCGCTCGCGCTGCGCTGGTCACAGACTGACGTGACTCCCGAATAAAAGGGGCCGGGGGCGCGGGGGCGGGGGGCGACAGAGCAGGAAGCTGTAGTCGTGGCCCCGGGGGAGTGGGCGGCCTGGAGCAGGGGTCGTGGGAAAGGCGCTTTGGTTTGGGGTGTATTTTAAGGTAAACTGGGAAGGTTTCATTCCCAAAGAGCACATCTTAATCAACTGAAGTCGGAGACCAAGCCCATCCTTTCAATGACTTTATTCAGTAGGAAGGCGCCGTTTGCAACGTAGGTGTTCAGTGAAGGTTCCCCTTATTTTAAAAATGGAAAAGACAGCTAAAGCGAGTTTAACGGGCGTTGTAATCGCAGTGGAAGGTGTTGTGGATGTTCGATTTTTGTCCGTAATTTTCCGAGCTGAGAACAAGTAGCTACGTGGCGCACCACACACTTGCTCGAGACTAAAAACGGGAGTAAAGTGAGTGTGAACTGGGCGTGTGAATCGCTTGCCCCGGTAAGAAGGTGGGTGACAAGCTGAAAGCTGAAGTGTGATCCTAATTCCTCAGGCTCTCAGTTGCTCCGTGCTGATCGTGTTTCTGTTTCTAGCTCCTTCTGGAATCCAGCCGTCCTTCCCCTTCTCCTGTGAGACAGCCTGTCTGTTGGGAGGACCCAGGTGCTCCATCTGTGGGACATTCCTTCCCTTTTGTTCACTGTGTCGCTCCGGGGAGCTCTTCCTGACAACCGCGGGGGAAGTGGTGGGGGGCGCGGCAGCGTGGGGAGCGGGGTAGGGAACGAGGAAGGTGAGCACCGGGGCAGGCGAGCACCTCACCTGCCGGAGGCCGAGAGACTGGAAGGAAAGCAAATAGGTCTGACCCGGCTGACGAGGAGTTTGCTTGGCTTACGCAGCATATAGTTAAAGTGGCAGGTGGTTGTCCTTTTGGGTGTTTGTTCCATGAAGGAAACTCAGTGAACACAGTTGATTTTTTTTGTTTTTAATTCATGGTTTTGAAATGAAAACATTGAAATTTTGGAGACTGTACGATTTCAGAAATGGAGTGTGCAGTGTTGGGCGAAGCTGGTAACTGTTGGAGGGCCGGCGCTGTGCCGAGCCCCGTCGGGGCGAGAACTACAGAGGCAGCGCCCATGACACGCACACACACACCCCCCCCCCCGCCACCAACGCGACTTCCCAACACAGGCACCTTCAGCGACCGTCCCCCGTTTGAGCCCGCTCTCTGGCCTACTTTGCCCTCATCTCCTTGCTTCGCCTCCGCCTTCACCGGGGGTCTCCCCAACTCGCTCCAAGGCTCAGTGTTTCATGCCCGTGTGCTCCCCCTCCCCCGTTGTAGTTTTTCTATCTGTCCTGCACCCCTCGGTGTCTCTCGGTGCGTGTCCTTCCCCCACCCAGGCTTCTTGATAGCGCGACACTCCTCAGACCTTCCTCGGCACCTACTGCGAGCGCTGCTTTCGTTTTTATACATTAGGGATCCTCTTCCCTACATAAAAGTAGTATTCACACAAGGGCACAGGCTACTGTTTCCCGTTGTTCCTTCTGCTTTTGAGAAATGCACCGATGGCAGCGTGAGTGGTCGAAGAGCTCGGCCGCATGGCCTCCTCATCTAAGGCCTCCGCTCTGCTTCCAGGCGGGCACACCACGGAGATGCTGAGGCTGCTCGAGCGCTTGTCCAGCGCCTACTCGCCCAGGCACTACGTCGTCGCTGACACGGATGAGTTCAGTGCCCAGAAGATACATTCTTTTGAACAAAGTCGAGCTGAGAGAGACCCCACTGCCACGGTAAGTGATCGTTTCTATTTCTAAAAAGGTCTCGAGTTGTGTATTGAGTTTCATGTTCCCTGGAAACAACCTCATGGCGCCTCAGTTAAGACGTGGGGCGTTGGAGGAAGGAGTGGAGGGTGACATCCAGACTTTTGTCCCGCGCTATCAGAAAACGCGCTCTATGTGCGTGAGCAGGACCCCAGGAGGGAGTGGGGTCTCCCCGGGGAACATCTGTGACCGTCCCAGCACAGCATGGGCTGTGCGGCTGGGTCCACCGTTGATGTTCAGGGGGAGCCTGGTCTGGGGTACAGGTTTGGGAGCCACGTGTGTTTACGGGATGGCACTTACTTAGAGGAAGAAAGTGGGTGACGTTACCCCGGGACCGAGTGTAGTCAGAGTGCAGCACAGGGCGAGCCCTGAGCCCCAAGGTGCCCTGCCTTTCCATGGCAGGGGAGCGTCACCGTCACCGAAAGGTCAGCTGCCAGGCGACGCTGACCGCTCCCTCTGGGCTTTCTTCGCATTCCTGGCAAGGAGAGAGTCCCCTTCTTCCCAGTTCAAAAATGTCTTTTGAAAGTATGTAGTTCTGTCTCTTACAGTATTTCAGTCTGCCTGTGGGAGGAGGCCTTCAGGGTCGTTTTCCCCACCTACCAGGACTGCAGTCAGAGCCGTACCAGGCTGGGGGCAGAGGCGCAGTGCCGCCTCGCGCGAAGTCCCCGCGGGGCTCCGTGTGGGAGCAGCGCCCAGCCCAGCCCCGTCCCTCCCTTCTCCCGGTGCGGCCGCAGGTGCAGCAGCGCGCCCTGGCCCTGCACTGCGCTCGCGGGGCTCAGCTTTGAATGACTCCTCGCAGCTGAGTCGCCTTGGCCTCCTTGAGGGGCCCACACACCCGCGCCACTGGGAACCGGGCCCTGGCGGGGGGCCGCAACCCTGCCACTGGGAGTGCCGCTCCCGCGCGGCTCCAGGGACGGGCCAGCCCACAGCGTGACTGCGAGGCTGCCCTTCCCTGAAAGTGACCGCCTCCCTGGAAATCAGCAGGCGCGGCGTGGCGGCCCGAGCAGCAGAGGGACTCCCTCTCGGCTGCTTTGTGGCTTAGGCCAAGGCGCAGCTACCAGCGCAGTCCTCCGTGTCGCCGGCTTGCGGGGGTCGCGGGGGTGCGGGCACCCCCGGGCGTGCCGCTGCGCGCAGGCGGCAGGCAGGTTCAGCCCCGGGCTGCGAGCCTGTGTCCTGAGTCCGGCCGCAGCACCGCCTCCTGGGCGGCGGGGCCTCGCTCGGACCCCTCACGGGTCCTCTCTTCCGCTGTAGCTTTTTAATGGCATTTAAAGGCTTTAGGTGCAAGATTCGCCTTATTTATAAGTACACAAAAATGAAAATAAATCATTAATTTCTACACTTAAGATTTTTTTTATTTGCTCTTAAAGAGAGGGAAGGAAAGGAGAGAAGCATCGTTGCAGGGCGCCCGCACCCCAGGCGTGGGCCCCGGCCCAGCGGAGCCGCGGCCTGTCGCTCTGCGCGGCGACGCCCCGCCCGCCGACGCCCCGCCCGCCGAGCCTCGCCAGCCAGGGCCCTTCTGGGCTCCTTCAAGCCCTGCCGTTAGCCCTCGCGTCTCTGAGGAGCTTCACGTCTTAAGGGAAACAGGTTTCCCTCGGGGGAACCTCTCAGTCCCGCCCGAATGAAGCGACTAGGAAGGCAAGTAGCAGAAAGCTAAGCAAAATGCTAAAACCCCGGACGTTAGCTGCGAAATTACCTAGATGAAAAAATACCGTGAAAAACCTTCTAAAGAAAGTGTGATTTCCCCTGGGATGAGCTCTAAAGCGAAGAGTGGCTGAAGCTATGCTTCCCAAAGATCAGCCTGCCGCCCCCGCCAGAGCCAGTACCCCCGGGGCCGCGTCCTGGCCGGCGGGTCTCCCCCACCAGGAGGCGGGCGCCTCTCCCTTGCTTCCCAGGCAGTGCCTCCTCTGTCATCCACCCTCTTGGCAACGGCTGTCGGAGCAGCGCTGACATCTTTAGGTCCTGTCACCAAAGGAAACGGCGCGGTGACTTGGAGTAGGACCTGAGAACGTGAACGACGAACGACGGGGCTCCATTCACAGGCAAAACCCCAGCTGGGGTCGGGGAATGGATCTGAGGGTCGAAGGTCAGAGCCACCTCCCTGGCCCAAGGCCACCTGCCCAGACTGCCTGCCCCCGCGACGCAGCTGGGGGGACCTGGACCAGTAAGACACTTGCTCCCTCACTCAGAGCAGCGACCCAGTGCGGGATCTGCGCGAGACAGGGCTCGCCCATAGGCCTCGCCGCACCTCCTGACTCAACGCAGCCCGCAGTTCACAGGCTGGGTCCTCAGTGGCTACTTAGTTTCTTTACTCTTTCCTTTCCAAACTGCATGTATGTTTGTTCCTTAATGTAACAACTTTGGACCGTAAGGAATTACATAAAGTAAAAAGTGGGACTCCCCAGCCCCACCTGGGTCCCACGCTCTGGAGGCCACCGTATTGCCAGCTCGCGGGTGGGGCGGCGCCCTCGTCAGGCGTGGGCTTGCAGCGATCCCTGCGCGCCCCCTCCCCGCCCCGCCCCCCGTCGTGGGCTGGGCTTCGGCCTTGGACCCCCGGGCCTGTGCTGGTGGCCGGGAGGGGTCACGGAAGGACTGAAGCGCTGCTTCCCAGCTTCCCACGGCCTCGGGAGGTGCTTCCTGAGGCCCCCAGGTTGTGCAGCATTTTTATATCTTTACAAATTTCCTACCGAAAGTGTGGGTGCTACTATAATTAGAAAAAAGCTTGAAAAGAAAAAAAGCCCAACCAAGCGATGGGCTTGCCCAGGCCCAGCCGCGCCCCCTGCACTTGCTGGCTGGGTCCCGGTGGTGACCGGGCAGACCCTGCGAGCACGGGGCGGGGAGGGCCCGGCAGCCCGGGCCCTGCGAGGCCGTTCCTCGCTGCTCGGAGGGCCGCCCGGGGGGAGGTTCGCTCAGGGGAGGGACGCGATCTGCTGGCCGATTCGGACGGACCGCTGGGGCGGGAGGGTTGCAGGGAGGCCGGGGACAAGGGACCCCCCAGGAGACCGGCGGCAGCCCGGCGGCGGCGCGGGCGGGTTTCCAGCCTTTGCTGAAAACGGAGTTGATACGATTGCGGGGAGGGGGGGGCGTGAAGAGAAGGGAAGCAGAGCGCGACAGCCTGTGGTCGGAGCGGTCGCGTGGACGGAGCGGCCACCGCGCACCTGGGGAGGCCGTGCCCGCTCTCCCTCCCCGGCCCTGCTTGGCCGGGCAGGCGCGGGGCGGCAGGACCGCGGCCCAGCCGCCTCCGCCGCGCGCTGTCGTCCCGCGCGCCGCCGCCAGGGGGCGGTGCGCGGCCAGCATTGAGCCGATCCGGGCGGGCTGTTAGGGGGCGGAGGGGAGGTCTCATCTTTGTGCAGAGCCCTGGACTGACCCCACGCACCCTCTCTCTCCCGAGGGCGCACGAAGGGGGAAGTCCCGGTCCCGGGAGCAGGGCCGGCCCGGGAGGAGCGGGGCTTCGCCGCAGGGCAGCGGCCGGAGGTGTGGGTGACGATCCCTGCGCGGAATGGGCCTCCAGAGAACCAGGGGGAGCGGAGCCGGGACAGAGGCGTCAAAGGAGGTGGCGCCACGAAAGCCGGGGTGGCAGGAGCGGCCAGTGCCCTCCGGTGTCCCACCGGCCCGGGGGCACTGGAGGGACCGGCAAGACGGCGGGCACCTGTGGCTTCGGACAGAAGCAGGGGCAGGGGGAGAGCGGACTCCCTGGCTGGGGTGTTGGGGGTCTGCCCCAGAAAGGCGGGGAGGGGGGTCCGACCGGGGAAGGCAGCGTGGGGACAAGGGAGGAAGCGGAGCGGGCAGGCCACCTGCGCACAGGGAACCGGGGAAGAAGTGGGTTGCACTGCCAGACAGGTCAGACCAGTTGTAGGGACCGGAGTCTCCCCGGATCCCGTCGCAGAGTGGATTCAGTGCGCGGCCTGAGCGACTTAAATTAAAGGCTGTGCAGAGCGAGTAGAGAGGTTGCCCCTGGTGCATGGATGATGGTTGATTTTTGGTCTTGTCCTCCAACATTTCCTAAGATGACGATTAGAAAACAGTGAAAGTTATTTTTTAGAAGCAAAGCTGAGAAGAGATAAAAGCCTCAGTGGAAGTAACAACCTACTGATAGGAAATCGTTACTTTCGAAATAACCCAAACACACGTCGCAGGCGCCAGTGATCTGGGGCCGGCCTTCCGGCTGTGGGAAGCAGGTAGCTGGCCCGCGGCTTGAGTCAGGGCGTTGCGTGGGTTTGCGCCCGCGGGCCGCGCCGTTCGGCCCCCGCGGGCTCCGCGCAACCCCGCCGGCGGCCACCAGGGGGCGCCCTGACTCCGCGCAGCGCGCCGGCGCCGGTCTCCTCGTTCCCAAGCGGTTCTAGGAGCGCGTCGCAAACTAGGTCATTGCGGCTGTGGGGTCTTCCCCGTTTGTCGATTAGGTATCACAACCCGCTGCTGAATATACTTCCATTTTTAGAAAGCGATTAATGTATATGGGCACTTTTCCTTTTATAATAAACCTTAACTCTGTTCACTTTTATGTTGAGGTAAAAAAGAAAGACACCTCTAATTTGGAAGCTTATTCTGAATGAGTGAATATCTGAGTAAGAAAATCTTCATAGTTTGTTGCAAACAGAGATCCCGATGTGGCCATTTCAGTGAATAAATGATTATTTTCAAAACAATACATCACATAGACATGTGCCCAGTTCTAAAGTATTTTCAGTGGCTTACCACCTGAAATGCCTTCCTAAATCTTTTCTTTTTTAAAAGATTTTATTTACTTATTTTTAGAGAGAGGGGAAGGGAGGGGGAAAGAGAGAAGAGAAACATCCATGTGTGGCCGCCTCTCATGCGCCCCCTGCTGGGGACCCAGCCCGCAACCCCGGCCTGTGTCCTGACGGGGAATCAATCCAGCGACCCTTTGGTTCACAGGCCGGCGCTCAGTCCTCTGAGCCACAGCAGCCAGGGCCTTCCTAAACCTTAATTGTCCCATCCTCCACGTCCCCAGGAAGGGCAGGTTAGGCTAGACTTCTAGGCTCAGATCTGAATCGATGGAGCTGAACACACACTGCACTCGCTCCGGCCTGCTCCCGTGCCAGTTCAGTGGCACGGGGCTCCTGCCATGGGCCGCGCTACTGCACACCCTCGCCCAACCCTGGCTTCGCGCCGTGGCTTCATGACCAGCCCGAGGACAGAACAAGACGGCCTCCGTCGGCCTCTGAGAGACACGCAGCCTCTCTTCCCAGGAGCCCAGCACACACCTGCCCGATGGCCTGGTCAGGCGATGTTCCCACCGAGCAGCCCGTCGTGGTGGCCGGGCTCGGGGTCGTCCCATGTCATTTAAGCCCTTCCGGGCCCACCCTGGGAGCTGGAGGTCGGGGGCGAAGGGGGCGGGCTGAAATCCCACCCAAGCCCTCGGGCTGCGGCTGTGAGAGCCCGCAGGGGAAACCAGGCGATTGGGGGCCACGGATGGGACCGAGGCCGGGAGAGGACGAGCCTTGTGAAGGCTGTCAGGCTCCCGGGACACACCGCTCGCTCCTCTGCCCGAGCCCAGCACCTCCAGGCAGGGAGGGCCTCCCCGGGCGGCAAGGGGGCCGCGGGCGCCGGAGCAGGGGCTCGAGGCTTTGACCTGCCAGGCCGGTCATGCCATCGCTGTGGCTGGTCGGGCGTCCCGGCTCCTGCGGGACCTCCGTGCTCCACAGCGAGACCCTGAGGCTGGAGAGCCAGGCCCCCGGGGGGGCGGGCTGTGCCTCACTGGGAGGGCGTGCGTGTGAGAGCAGCGTTCCGGCGTGGCCCCCGCCGGCCGCCGTGACTTCAGAATGACTGGCGGGGCCATCCGATATCCTTCAGTGTGTGTTACGCTTTGCATTAATAAAAAACAGTTATGAAAGAAAGCTGAAACCATTTTTGGTTGAATGAAATTTTACCGTTTCAGTCTTGTCTTGTTTCCAAGAGCCTGCAGTAGTGCAGCGTTTGTTCAATAATGTGCGCGTTGTGCGATCCCGCGGGTGGGGACGGCAGAGAGCGGCTTCATAGCCCCCGCGTCTGCGCTGCTGTGGTTTATGATGCTATCGGGATTCCTGGGTGGAATTATTTCCATCTAAATCACTGGAACCCTCTATTTAGTTCATCACAAATCTCAAGCCAGATATGTTTGTGGTTTTTAGTGGTGAGGTAATACTGGAAGACACTTTGAAAGTTACAAGTTGTCACCCACTGTTAGCATTTAACTCAGGGTTTCACTTCAGAGAAAGCAGAGGCCTGGAAAACTCATCTGCCCACGGCGCTTTCTGCCCCTTAGGCATTCTGCCCTCCGTGTCGGTCCTCCCGCTGCACGCTTGTTACGTGCCGGTCAGAGGTGCGTGTGGAACCCTGCAGGCGGTGGGCACACGCGGTACAATGGGGCGTGGTCCCTGCCCCCCTAATCAGGGGCGTAGGGAGGAAGGTAGATGGGCAGGCGGGTGGACGGATGGCTGGACAGATGGACAGATGGACCAGTGACAGGGGGTTTCACTGACTATTTGATAGAGAAGAAGAGAGAGCCTCACTCTTCGCTGCTCTTTTCTGTTCCCGCCGCTGAGGGGAAGAGGCGGGGCCACGCCGCTGGGCAGCCACATCCTGCAGGGTGAGCTGGGCCGCAGGGAGCTGCGGGGAACAGCGCCACCCGGCGGCTGCCAGGCGGGAGGGCAGCGGCAAAACGGCAGAGCTTGCCAGGGGGCCTTGGGGTCTCGGGTTCAGCAGCAGCGTCTGACTATTTCTAAGGCTCTGTTTTTATTCTCTTTTTCCCCAGGAAGGCACGGGGCCAGGGCAGATGGGGCTGATGTGCACACCCCCGTGCGGAGCTGGGGAAGGGGGCCGCGGTGGGAGGAGGCGGCAGCTCGGGTCCCCAGGGACTGCGGGAAGGGCGCCCGCCAGGGGCGCTGGGGCTGCAGCCGTGCAGGCTGGTGAGCTGCAAGCAGAGGCGGGAAGGGCCCGGGTCCGGGAGGGCGGCGGCCCAGAGGGCGTGGGGCGCCGGTCGGCCGGGCGTGCGTGGGCACGCGGGGCCCCTGGGCCGTGAAGCGGAGATCCAGGGGGCCTAGACAGGGCCCGCGGCACAGTGCAGACCTGGGCCCTGGCTCCTTCGCCCGCAGGCCGCCGCCTTGGGAAAGGTCCGGGCCCCCATCTGGGACGTGCGCAGGTGGGATTAGTTGGCCTCCTGCAGCCCTGAGACGAAGAGTCGGTGCCTCCCGGCCCCGACCCAGGCTGGACTCGGATCCTGTGGCCGCAGGCGCCGCCTGGTCCGAGGGCGCTGGCCGCGCCTCCCTTCGGCCCGTGGCCCGCTCACAGGCCGTGAACGTGGGCCGGGGCGGCCCTCGGGGCCGAGCTGCGGACTCACAAAGCCCAACGTCTGCCGCGGGCCTTCCTCCCGATGCCCGAGGCCACGGCCAGGCCTGCTGGGGGCTCTGACACTCTGTCCCGTTCCTTTGTCTTCAGTCTTTTGAGTGGCCATTTTTTTTTTCCATTGACGTCTTTATATGCTGCTATTTGATTATTTTCTACAACGGTATAAAGTAATAACAACCCCTCTTAAGATGTTGCCACAGCCTGGCTCTTGGTGTTTCCTCCAGGTGACACGGGACATGAAGTCCCCACACCAGCTCCTGTGCGGCGAGCCCAGCCAGCCCACGGGCCCGGGGCTTGGTCCCTGCTGCCTGTCGGCTCTGTGGTGAGGGAGCGGCCCGGCGTTGCTCTCGAGCCAACACCCGCAGCCTCGTCCCCATCCTGGAGCGACGGTGGGTGGTGGTGAAGAGCGGCAGCAGCTCCACGCTGAGCCCCGCATTCCTGCTCCGGGTCCCGGGGGAGGGGCACGGCCGGCCACCATGATCACGTGTGGCTGGGAGCGGCCACCCACGCAGCCGTCCCGGTCACGCAGCCGTCCCGTTCTGGGGCTGTGAGTGCCAGATGCTCGCGCACACCGCCCTGCCGCACAGCCGATGCCTCAGACGCGGCCTCGCGAGCTTCGGAAAGGCTCTCTTCTGCGGGGGCAGCGTGCTCCCAAGGCCCGAGGGGGACGCGATGGGGAGCGTGTGAGGCACGCAGCCCTGCACTCCCCGGCGTAACCCGGGTGGTCGCCCGGCTCCCAGAAGGCCCAGTCACTGTCCTCTCCTGCTCCCCAAGCCTGTGGGTGTCCCTTCTACGTGAGAGAGGGTGCCCTGTGGACAGTAGGACTTTGTGGAAATGATAAAGTGTGGCCTTTGAGGGTGGGACCCTCCGGTTTCGGGTCGCTGGCTCCTCGGAGGCTGACCGCTGGGTAACGAGCGCCCCCGCCCCCGCGGGGAGCCCCGTGTGGCAGAGAGGCGGGGCACCCGGCCAGCTCGGCGCGGCCCCGCCGGCGTGCCAGCCAGCACCTTCTCGTTCCATGAGAAACCCACCCGGAGCCACCCCGCTGGGCCACTCCGTCCCCAGCCCCCAGAGGCTAAGAGCCGAAAGCGCCGCGGCTCTGAGCTGCCGAGTGCTGGGTGGCCCGAGAGGTAACGCGTGCCCTCAGACTTCGCCTCCAGGAAGGGGCGCTGGTTCCTCCGGTTCCGGAGGCGCGTGCTCGCGGCACACCCCAAACGTGGCCACAGGGAACCTGGAGAGCGGAACTGCCCCGCAACGCCGCCGCCGCGCAGCCCGTGGCAGCCGGGTCCTGGTGTCCGCCCTGCAACACCAGTGTATGTACACGTGTGTGCACAGACACACGCGTGTGATTTGTTACCACACACTGGGTCATATGAAACAAACCGCCCTGCAACGTGCGATTCACTTTAACCACTTACATTGGCCTCTCTGTCATACACATTTGTGTCATCTGTGTCATTTGTCACGGCAGCTCCTTGTGTGTCACTGTATGGACTTCTCTGCTCCCCAATGGTCGAGGCGTGGGCTGCTCTCCGTGTCCGCAAGCACAACAGTGACACAGCAGTGACAGGCCGCGCAGCCGGCGGGCCGACGCTCTCTGTGGCTGCTAAAGCGCTGCATCGACAGCGGACGCAGAGTGCGGGGGTCTGCCCAGGCGGCCCTCCCCACGGGCGCTGGCGACGCGCTGGCCCCGGAGGGCGAGGGTCTGTTTCGCAAGCCCACAGCGACGCCGGGGACGCAGGCTTCGCCAGGCGGCAGGGCAGGCACGTGCCACTGTCTTCCGGGCCTAGTGGCGAGCCCGCCGGCTGCGGGTGTGCTGCCTGCGTGTGCCTTCTGTTTGGAGTGGCCGGTCCCTCTGCCTTGTCCATCGTGGCCTGAGGTTGTGCCTTACGTACTGATTTGTAAGAACTCTTTGTATATCAGCATGTTATGCTCTACTTAAAACATCTCTTGTAGGAAATTTCCCCCAAGTTACCGTCAAAACTGACTAACATTTTTGAATCCTGTTTAGAAAACTTTCTGTCATAACCCAGTGTTGTATAAAGCATGAAAAAGACTTTTTAATTTAAGAGCCGTTGGAATGAACATCAAGAACAATCGAGAACGCATGGCACACAGATGTCGCCTGTGTGGCTTTGCTGTCGGCGGCCCAGCTGATTCGGGGTTTTGCTCTTTCCTCCCAGGCGTCCGCATACTACATCCACCGCATCCCCAGGAGCCGCGAGGTCCGGCAGTCCTGGCTGTCCACGGTGTTCACCACTTTGCGCTCCGCCTGGCTCTCCTTCCCCCTGACCTACCGCGTGAAGCCAGACCTGGTAGGTAAGGCCGCTTCCCCGCGGCTCTGGGGGCGGTGTTGTGGGCGGACCCTGCTCTGCCGGCCTGCGCCGGGAGCGATCGCTGGGTGTGCGCTGCTGACAGAGGACAGATGTGGTGGCGGGCGGCCGGGTGGGCGCGCGGGTTCCGGGCGGCCCGGCCCCGGCCTTTGGCCCCCTCGAGCGGCGAGAGGGACTGCTGGGCCCGCGCGGGCTTTTATCTCATTTTAGGCAGTTCCCTTTGGGACCTTTTTCTTTGCCTTAAAACGAAAGGGTTGGATTGGATGTCTCTCAGTTTCCTTCTAACTTAGTCTAAAATTTTATGAGAGCTATAAACTGGCCTGTAAAAAGTAGAAGGATGTTTCTAAAGGAATAAGGGGGAAAAGAGAGAGTATGGAATACTTATTTCCATTTTGAACGGCATCAGTTTGAACACTTCGAACACTGTCTGGTCGGCTGCCCCGCCACGGCCGGCGTCGCCAGCGGAGCCCCCTCCTGCGGTGAGGCCCCCCAGTGGGGACCGGAGGTCACGGCCAAGGGCCTCTCTACTCCGTGGGGGCCAGGCGCCCCTCGCTGGCCTCCTGAGCCCGGCCAGGGCCCGCCCAGTCGTCCTGTGACCTGTCACAAAGCACTGTCTCTTTCTTACCTCTTTAACAATCGGAGGGAAAACCCCGTTTAGCAGGGACGGCGGCACCGGCCCTCCCCTGACCGCGCGTCTCGCCGGCCCGGCGCCCCTCGGCCTCGCCTGGCTGATGCGCGTGCCCGAGGCGGCGGCCTCTGAGCCCACTTGGCCACCGTCCTCATTGCCACAGGGCGCGTGCGAATAACAGAGCAGCTCGCGGCTTAGTCACTGGAAAGCCCATCCGTCCCGCGTCCAGGGGCGACGTTTGCTGAGCCCCGGAGTTCATGAGATCGGCGACGCTGTCCCCGTTTCAGGGGTTGCACACGGGGCTCGGGGGCACGGAGCCGCCGGTGCAGGGTCAGTGCCCAGGGGGAGAGCGAGGCCGGGCCCGGGCCCCCTCACTCCAGGGGCTCGGCCTCCGCGTGGCAGAAGCCCCCGCCCCACCCCTGCCCCCCGCTCTGGCCCGCGAGGCTCCCCTGTGAGTCCCCGCGGAGGCCCGACACCTTGCATGGGCTCTGTCCTCACTGCGGCGGTGACAGGGGCTCCTTAATTGTGTGCGTCTGTCGCAACGCAGACTGTACGTTGAAAAGGGCACATTTGACTGTAGGTAAGTTGTATCTCAATCAATATACATTTTAAAAAGATACACTGGATTAAAATAGGTATAATTGCCAAAACTATCAGAGCACTTGGCTTTCTGTAGCCTTCTATACAGCGCTGAACGCTCTGAGTGCAGGTGAGTTGGGGGACTGTCGGCTTCCTCTCCGCCTTTGCTGACGCCCCTCCCCAGTTCTCCTGGCAGCAGTGGGGGGCATGGGCCCGTTAGCCCTTCAGAGCCGCGGCCGAGGGGCCCCACCGACCTTGGTCCCCAAACCCTCCCTGTGCTTCCTCTCCGCCAAGGGCAGTGTGCACGTCGGTCGCGCAGGGGTCTGAATTCTAAACGTTCTTTGCAGTTCCCTGTTTTGCACCTCAGAACCCAAGGATTTGTCCGCCGCTGTGTCTTCTTTAGTTTCTCCCAAACGCAGGAGTCTCTGAGGGAGTCGAGACAGCGGCCAACCTCCCCCTCCCCTGAAAATGCACTAGGAAGAGGCGCCCGCCCGGGGGAGGGCGGGGGAGCCGAGGCCGTGGGGGGCGCTGAGCCTGCAAACTCTCCGCGGGCCCCGGCGTTCCCGCGGCTCTTCCCGGAGAGGGGCCTGTCACGCGCTGTGGGGTGGCCTGGGGAGAAGGGCCAGGACCGGGCGCTGCAAGTCAGCACGGGGACAGAGGCGCCGCCCCCGAGCCGGCCCCTCCCGGGCCTCGCGCCCGCCCCCGGCCTCCCCGCAGCCCGGCCGTTGAAGGAAACGTGGGCAAGGGGCTCCGCACACATACAGGAAGCCTCGTTTCATTTTTAATCGAGTGAAAAGTAAATTTCAGGTTCTACATGTATAACGAATGGGGGAGAAATGGACCATTTCAGCCTGGTGCTCGGCCTCTGCCTGAAGCTGAAGCTGCTCTCATTCGGCGAGGCAGCTCCCGACGCATCTATGGCTTGTGCCCCGCGCTCCGCGTGAAAGGGGGCCGTGTTTCCCTGCGTCATTTTTTTCCGCGTTTCATGCCCGGCCTGAGCGGTGAAATGTCTAAGTTCACGGCGGCAGCCAGTTGACAATGGATCGTGGGTTATTGTCCACAAGCATTACTGTGATTTTTTTTTAATTGGGCATTTTCTGCGGTGAGTCACAAACTGGGTGGCACTGATTACCGCTGTTGGCCTAGTATATCACATTTTTATTGGCCTATTGATTGACATGTGTTTGAAACATTAACGAGAGTCAATTAACTTGTAGATAAGGCAGAGGGCCCTGCGGGAACTCCATTTCCCCCCACTGCTGGCCTTTGGTTCTCTGTGCGCACCGACCTTCATCTGGTTTTATATATTCTGGTGATCAAAAACCTTTATGACATGTGCAAAGGAAACTTAGCTAGACAAAGAAAGGTCAGCTGACCCCAGATGCCTATCTCTAAGTGGAATTAAGGGAGAGTAAGGTTTTCAAGCCAAGTCAAATAAGAAGCAATTGACCACAATCGTCCGTTGCTTTGTGATTTCCACGATGAATGGAACCGACCGGTAGCGTTTGGTCATGTCTGTTCAGTGCCTGCCCCTCTGAGCAGCCCCCGCCCACTCCGTGGCCGCCGCCAGACTCGGGGGGCCGTTCCGTGGGGAGCGGACACCGAGCCTGTCCCCTGGGCGGGAGACTGGTTTGTGTGGAAATCCTCCCACGTATCTGGTTTCTTGGGGCTGACGAACTGCCTTCCCAACTGTGTGGTGAGCGGCCAGCTGTGCCCAACACGCTGGCTGGTGACAGCCTGGCGCTGCTTCCTTCCAGAAGTGACGTCTGTAATTTAGACGGCACGGCTTCTGGTTCACATTCGGGGTGACCTCAGCGCGTGGCGGTCAGAATTGGGCTGGGTTCTGTCAGCCAGAGATTGCTTTAATTGCTTTTGTTTTTCCCCTTTGGGGGACTCTCCGAAGCTTGAAACCGGTCTTTCTCTCCCTTCTCAGCGGGTCCTTTTCCACTTGGCACATGTGACGGGTTTCCTCCTGCAGAAGCCAGTATGGCTTTGCCTCCGCTTCGCTCTGTCCTTTCGCTTTGCCTGCATCATCCCCAAGTTGCCTTGGCTCCAGCCCATCCCAGCGGCCTCTTCCTCCCCAGGTGGAAGCTGGCACGGTGCCCTAAGGGTGGCGGGGCAGCAGAGAACCCCGCTGTGAGCGCAGGGGTGGGGGAGGGAGCCTGGAGGAAACAGGGCTGTGTTCCCAGGCGGTGAACCTGCAGGGACCCGGCCGTGCGGGCGGGGCCAGAGCTGGGCGGGTGGCAGTGTCCAGAGGCTCGGCAACTCCGGGCCCTGGTTCCCTCCTGGGCCGGGCCCTGTGCAGAGGCTCTCAGGGCTGCCTTCCAGGGCCTGGGGGCGGGCAGAGATCTGTGTTCCCGGCCTCCGAAAATCAATCAAGCGACCTGTTGTTCAGTACTTTTCAAGCCTGGCTGTGGTCTGGGGGCAGAGGGAAAGCGGAGTGCACAGCGAGCAAGATAGCACAGTGGTGGGGGGGGGGGGCTGCAGCCCGTCCCCAGTGGGCAGGGTCCCCAGTGGGCAGGGTCGGGAAGGAGGCGGCCAGCTCTGGGGACCCAGGGCGGGGAGGGGGGGGGTGTTCAGTGCCTATGAAGAGGAGGGGCCCGCTAAGAGGGCAGGAAGGAGGAGCCAGACAGGCCTTGAGAGCTCAGTGGTGGCCGCTCAGGTCCCTGAAGTCCTGGAGGCAGAACAGGAAAAGCGCTTTGCTTAGGGCCTCTCAGTTACCCCTGGCACCCGCCCACCCCCTCCCCGGACTCGGGACACCTCTGAAGGGTTAAATGCTGTCTCTGCCAAAGCGATCAGGAGAAAATGGCAGAAGCTCCTCGCTCCTCCTAAGCAGAGTGCAGTCGTTTCCTTTGCACCCTGAGATGAGACTCACACAACAGGCAGTGAGCCCTGCCGAGTGCTCAGCGTGGTGGCCTCCGGCGCCTCCGCCCTGCTGCGCCGCCTGCCCCCGGATGAGGCTCCAAGGCAGTCTCACCCACAGCTGCTTTACTTTCATGCCCAAGGATCATGGAACCGCTTAGGGTTCTTTCTTACTAAATTTAAAAAAAGAAAAGATTACAACTTAGTGTTTGCTGACAGCCTGTGGGGACAAAATGCCGTCTTCCTCGTCGCCCGTTTTGAATTTCTTGTCCCACCTACGAGTCGAGGGAAATGCGCCTTCTCAGGCCAGCATTCCATCTGTGGGAGTTTGTTTTCCGGTCACTTCCGTCCCTCCTGGCCTCCTGGTATAATTCTTCTTTGTGTAGCCTGATACCTCCTGGTCATGCTACACAAATAAGAACTATAAGAAACAGGAAGACGAATTTCTCCTGCTGGTGTTGGACTGAGCGAGGCTCCGTCAGCCGCAGGGAGAGCTCCCCGTCTGCCCCGGCCGACCCGCCGGGCCTGCCCCGCAGCTCTGCCCTTCCCCAGGGCCCAGGGGCAAGTGCCTGCAAACCTGTCCGACAGGACCTACAGCCAGGGACAAGGACACTGTGACCGCCACAGATTTACTAAAGAAGGAGCGAGCACACTACACATTTGCACGCTGTGCGGCTTACAGAATTTGCGAGCATTACTGTCGAGAGTGAGAAGGTGGCGATTAGAAACAAGTAGGATGGAGCTTGTGCGAGTATTGCACGCGCTTCACACAGCGGGAAGCCCCCCGCTGGTGGGACGCAGCCAGGCCGGGAGAACACGCGGTGGCCGGCCGTGCCCCCGGGCGCGTGAGCGCAGGGCCGTACGGCGCGCGTGTGACGTCAGAACGGGCCCGCGGCGGACGTTGCCGCAAAGAACGGAACGTGTGGCGGGGCGGCCGCGGGCGGGCAGAGGGCTGTTCCGTTCGGTAGCAAACACCGCTCTGCCTTCTTAGGCTCCCGGTTTCCCACTGCTGAAGCCGTCCCTGCAGAGCGTGGGCAACGCACTGTTTGACATGCACGTGCAGCCGACAGTCCGTGGAAGCAGGTTTGCTCTCGTAGGCTGAGCACCTGCTTTCCCTCCTGCCAGCTCCCGGGGAGCGCGTAGGTTCTCCGGGCGTCTGGAGTCTGTGACCGTCCCCTCCTCCCCACAGCGCAGGCTGTGAGCGCTGTGGGGGCCCAGACCCAAGCCTCCCGGCCTCGTCATCCCTGCCCACATGGCTCAGCGCTGGGTCAGGTGCCCAGAGAGGCCCCCGGTGCGTGAGCGGGCGGTTCTGCTTTCCCACCGTCGACCCCACGGACAGGCGAGCCGTCCCCGGGGTCAGCGTCGCACCCTGGCCCCTCCCTCGCTATGCGCCCGGGAGCCGGGACTCGGAGCCCCGCCTCAGAGCCGCGCCTGCGGCAGTGCACGTCTCTTCGGCCTGCGGGGGGCTAAGCAGCGCAAGCAGCCCGGGGGGCTTCCTCTGTGGCCGGTCCGCCGGAGCTCCCGCCACGTTCTTACGGGAAATGGCGTCACTGAAGTATTTGCAGTTGCTAAGAGGACCTGCGCCCACTAGCGTAGCATTACTTTCTGGTGCCTTTTTCTGGGATTATACAACCTAGATATCAGAGCAAGAGGTTTTCCTGTAAAGCTCTAGTGTTTGGAGTTATTGATTCCTGGATTTGGTGTTATTTTATAGACTTGGTGACAAATAGCCCTGACCAGCATGTGCAAAAGGTCACCGTGTCGATCGCGGTCAGAGCGTGTGCGTGGGCTTCCGACCAGGGCCCGGTCAGGGGCATGTCAGGGACTGCCGATCGGTTCTCTCTCACATCCGCGTGTCTCTCCCTCTCTCTCTCCTTCCCCTCTCTCTAAAAATAAAAAATAAAATCTTTTTAAAAAACCCTCATTGACAAATTAGAAATTGTGAATGTTTATAGGTAAATTATTCCCAAGCACGTCGTTATTCTGCTCTAACCGCTGGGCACCGAGGCCGGAGCTGGGCACGGGCCGAGGACGCGCTCACAGGGTCGGGCGGCGGGCGAGGCCCAGAGGCCAAGGCCGGGGGCGGGGGCCTGCGGCCTGGACCCTGAAGGGACTGGCTCGGGGCCAAGGAAGCAGCCGTGCGACGGAGGGGAGGCAAGTTGCCGCCCAGGCCTCATGGGGAGGCGAGCGCAGGCGGGCGAGCCCTGTCCCGGTCCCGCCGCACAGGCAGGGGTGACGGTCGCGCCTGGCGGAGCAGCTCCAGGAGGCGGAGCAGCTCACGAGCCCCGAGAGCCCAGAGCGCAGGCCGCGCGGGTCAGGGGCAGACCGGGCACCGCACGGGGACGGCCCGCAAAGGCCGGCTCCCACGGGCTCGGGGGCCCGGGAAACACCAGCACTGAGGCACTGGGTCGCCTGCTGGTGTGGAGGACACCGTCCCGGACCGACGGGGGAGAAGGCTGCCTCGCTCAGGTCTACCCTGTGTCCCTGCCTCTCTGAGTGCGCTCTAGGGCGGAGTCCCCAGCGCAGCCACACAGCACTGGGAGGGGTCCCCAGCAGGGCCACACGCTCCGAAAACTTGGCCAAGCCCGAAGGCCAGAAAAACCTCGGAAACACCTTCGCTCAGGCGGGCAGGGCTGTTCAGTCCTGCACGCTGCGGGCGGGCCGGGGGCGGCCGCGCCGGGTTCCGTAAGTGAGCGGCAGGCCACAGACGCACGGGAAACAGCTCGGAGGGCGCAAGCACGCCCGGGGGGCACGTGTCCGCCGAAGGAAGGCCACAAGCCAGGCGGGGCTCGCGGGGACCACATCCTTCAACCACAAGGTCCAGCCAGCGTGTCTCCAGTCGTGGAACTGTCTGCTGTGTTTCTCTCTTGCACACACATACCCCGAATTTTGTTTTTTGCTTGCTTGCTTTCTTTCTTTTTAGAGGGAGGAGAAGGGCACAAGGAAGAGAGAGAAGGATCAATCGGTTGCCTCTCCTGCGTGTCCGGACATGACTGGGACCGAACCTGCAACCCAGACATGTGCCCTGACCGGGAATCCCAAGGGTGACCTTTTGCTTTGTGGGATAACGCCCAACCCACTGAGCCACACGGGCGAGGGCCACAGCCAGAATCTTATAAGTGTTTCTATGCATCCTCGTGACTGAGAACTCAGGGACCAGATAATCCTCCACGACAATGCGTCAGCCTCTGTTTACACTGGAAACTGACCCGTGCGTAAGTCGCCTGCGCGTGGCCAGCCGGCGGTCAGCTGGGCGGGACGGGCCGCGCACGGGGCCCTGTACCAGCCGGGGAAGGACCGCAGCGGACTCGTCCCTCACAGACCGAGTTCTGTCGCTGCTTTGAATTCAAGCCAGTCCTCCCTGTTTGGGCAGGACAGTCCCCTTTCCTCATGTTCACCGTGTCCCCGTTTTACCTGCTGAAAAGCCTCTCTAACCGCCCTCAGCCCAGTGGTGGGTCAGTCTGCCACCGACTCTGAAAGCACGAAATGCTCCTCACAACGTCAGGGTTCCAGGCGCTGGGCCCGGCCGGCGGGGGCGGGGCTTGAGACCCCGCCGTGTGGTTTTACCTCGTCGCCTGATGTCCCTGGGCCCCCCAAACGCGGGGGCGACAGCGTCCGCCTGGCGGGCCGCCGCGGGTCCGGGTGCAGCCCCTCCGCTGAACGCCCTCTGAGGAGCCTGCCTGTCAGGGTCGGGGGCTGCCCTTCGCCTCCGGGGACGGGAGCTGGAGGCCGCCCGCGCGCAGGGCCGGTGGGGGGACGCGGGGCTGCCGGGCGGCGACACCTCCCTGACAACGTCGCAGCGGACACAACGGGCACAGCGAGCGGCCCGGAAGGCAGGGAGCGGCGCCTTGACCGTGTGTCCGGAGGGCAGGACGGCTCCAAGGCCCCGGGTCCTCCGCGGGGCGCAGGGGCGGCCGGCCTGGCCGTGATCTGCAGCGATGGCTGGGGCGGCCTTGGCTCTGCCATCCAGGCCAGAAACAATAAATCAAGTCTTAATTTGATGTCGTATTATTGTCCGTGACAGAGCACAGGGCAAGGACTCGAAAAGCCAGTCCCCCGTGGCCGCTCAGCTCTCCGCCAGCGCCGCCCCCGGTCGCCGGAGGAGCTGGGCCTGGAGCCCGCAGCAAGCAGGGTCTTCCTCGCGGGCGTTGAGGCGGCAGCGGGGCGTCGCTGGGACGTGAGAGGACCCGGGGGCCGGCGTCTGCGTGTCCCTGCCGCCTGTTTGCCGGCCCTCGGCTCAGGCCCTGGCGGGGGCGGGGGCTCCCCAGGGGCCGCGGACGCCCAGGTGGCCACGCGGGGCAGCACAGCCGGCCAGGGGCGTCCTGGGCCGCACAGTCCGAGCAGGGAGGCCGGACCCCTCCGCCCCTGGACACCCGCGAACCCCGCTTCGGGGAGTCGGGCTCCTCCGTCGCTGTCCACGTGGGCATCACCCGGGCGGGCCAGGCAGGGCGGAAAGATGGCCGGACGATAAAGAGAACGAAGCACGTGCGGATATGGACACACTTTTCACAATGCCCCCAAATATAACAAGAGCCCCATGTGCCACACGAACATGTTCTGTAGTAAACATCAGCGCACGTGGGGGGACACGCGTGGCGGGGAACGCACCGAATGTTGACAGACCGGCGAGAGCCCGGGGCCGCTGCTTCTCCGCGCTGCTCTCCGGTTCTCGCGCGGAGCCGGAAAGTCAGTCTCGCTGGAAAGAGAAGCCACGTGGATCCTCTGCCGCGCTCTCAGACAGCGCAGCGGTCCCCAAACCGCGCCCAAGCTCAGCGCCCTGGGTGCTCCGTCGCCGGCCCTTTTCTGCGCAGTCCCTCCTCCCTCCCTCCCCCGCTGTTCCCGCTGCCCCTTGCTCTCAGCTGTAAACCCTTCCCGGTGGCTCCACTCCCCGAGCCGAGCCGGGCAGAGCTCCCTGCCCCCGCCCTCCTGCCCCGCCCTGCGCATTTGCCCAAAGGGCCGTGGGGGTGGCCGCCTCTGAGGCTCCCTCGCCGTCCCTGCAGCTGAGCCCAAAGACCCCGCTCGTCCCTGTCCTCGCGGCCTTGCAGGCTGCAGCAAATGCCGCTGACTGGGTGCTCGCCTGCGGCACCCTTCAGGGCACCGGAGGGTCACCGTGCGGTGGCAAGGCCAGTGGTGGCGGTGCCAGGCCCCGTCCTCCGAGGGTCCGGCGCCGCACACGAGGCGCCCACTGGCGCGCCGCTCCATCTCGCGGCCTCTCACTGGGCCGCGTGCTCCTGCCTGGACAAGTGACTTCCAGGGAATTGGAGGCCCCGGCTGGTCACACTGGGGCCACACGTCCTCTCCTGAGAGTCGGGTGTGGAGGCAGCTGCCCCCACACACTGAGAGCAAGAGCCGGGGACACAGCGGCCCTTGGCCGCCGGTCACAGCGCAGCGGACGGGAGGCGCCCTGTGGTTCCGGCCCCGCGGATCTGGCAGTGGGAGCACCGGCTGCGGGTGCCACAGGCAGAGAGACGCCCCTGCTCGGGGCTCCGGGTGGGGGAGCGAGGGAGCCCGCACCGCCCGCCCACCCTGACATGCGCGGCGGCTACACGCTGCCCCCGGACGAGGAATCACTCAAGGCGTAGAAATGCTTAGACAGTCCCTCCTCACGGGTGGCTGTTTTTAATGCAAAATGCCTCATTTCGATTAGTGTTCTGTATTTTAACTGGCCCTTCAACTTTTTTTAAGGTGCTGTGCAACGGGCCCGGCACGTGCGTCCCCGTCTGCGCCTCCGCCCTGCTCCTGGGGCTGCTGGGTGTGAAGCGGGTGCTGCTCGTCTACGTGGAGAGCGTCTGCCGCGTGGAGCACCTGTCCCTGTCCGGGAGGATCCTCCGCCCCTTCTCCGACTACTTCGTGGTGCAGTGGCCAACTCTGAAGGAGAGATACCCTACGTCCGTGTACCTGGGGCGGGTCGTCTGACGGCGCGACGTGCCCCGTGCAGCCCCGCGTCCCCGCCGCTGACTGCACTGGGGGAGCCGCGTGTGCGCCGGGCAGGCGCCCGGGACCCCGGGGTTCGGGGGAGAGTGCGGGAGCCCAGGGAAGTAGCTGAGAGCTCTTACGAAAGAGGCGCGAATAAACCATTGTGTAGTCACACCTCTGGGTACCGACTTTCTTTTCTACATCGAAGAACCTATCGCTGCCTGCAAGGTATCTTCTGACTTGTTTTAATCATATTTTTTCCTAAATCTAAATATAGAGTCTGTATCATTTGCAAAATTGCTTTTTCTTTTCCAACCAGCACTCTGTGGTGTAGAAAGGAAGGTATTGCTTCTCCTTTGTTCCCATGCACGGGCTTCCTTTCCTGTGGGACCCGCGGCCCTGGGGAGCCTTCCAGTGGGAAGGAAGCAGCCACAAGGCCGGGCCCCACCCCCCAACTCCGACCTCGGGCTCCCGGCCAGGACCCTGAGCAGAAACCCGCCCCTTTTCCTGTCCTTCAGTTTTGCTGTGTCGGTACTTGGCCTCCATCCCAAATACCTTTTGGAATCTCTTGTTTAATTGAATAAATTAAAAGGTGACCATTGCTGTAGCATTAAAAATGTGGTTCTGTTGATCTGGCATCCAGACTCTCGGAACAGTGTTCAAGGATGTTTCCAGAACACGAGGCCCGGCCCCACGGGGCTCTGCTGCTTTGAGACGCTTGGGCTTCGGTGGGCGCGTCACGCTTGTGAGTGCTCGCTGAATGCCAGGGGCCCTTCTGCGCACTCTTCAAGTCCCTCTATAGTCCCGGCAGCCGCTCGGGGAGGCGGGGACGCGCTGTGTCGCTGGTCCTGCTCCCAGGGACGCCCTGTGCACAGCTGGCGCGGGTCACACACAGCGGGGTCCCAGCTGGCGCGGGCCTGGCCGGGAGCTCCCTGGGAAACGGGAAGCCCAGCCTGCGCCCCTACGCTCTGTCCCTTGAACAAGGCAACCCAATGAGAAGACCCTGGGTCATATTGGAAGTGTTTACTTTTTCCTCTTATACCCTTTTAACAAGTGGGGCATGAACCTAACAAAGAAATGCTAAGGCATCACTGAAGAAACTGACTTTGAGTGAAAAGAGCTGCCTGGCAGGACATAGAGGGAAACGCTCAGGCAGCCTCCGGGTCCCCCCACCAGCCTCCTCCTCGGGCGGGGCCGGGCGGTCTGTCCGCAGGACATCGTCCGGCTCCTGGCTGGAGAGCCGCGTGGCCGGAGCCCACGGTGCTCAGGCCGCAACAGCTGCAGGGGAGACGCCGTGACTTGTTCTAGGGGTCTACGTCCCAGACGTTCTGCGGAGCCTTTGCGGGGGCCGCGTGTAGCCTGAATGTGAGAGAAAGACACGCGTGTCCTGCCGTGGAGCGCGGGCATGCCTGCCGGGCCCAGGCTGCGGGCACAGGCGCGGGCCAGGCCCGGGCCCCCGCGTGCTGCTGTTCGGGGCTGCCCCGGTTGACCCGAGCCCTCGGCGCGGCCTAGCGAAGGGGGCAGGCCCCGTGCTGGGGCCTGGGAACGGCAGCGCCCCGGTCCCCACGCAAACCAAAGGAGACAGAAGCCAGCTTGTCCTTCCCGGGTCCTCTTGGCTCACTCAGGGACGCAGCTTTTATGGGAAGAGACTACTCACAAAAAGTTCATTACCTCAGTCTTCAGACAAGAGGCAGGGAAACCGCACATCCTGCCTACACCTACTTCCCCGGAAGATTTTTATCTGCGGCCAGAGCCGTCCTCCGGGGCCCGGGCGGCCGGCCAGCCCAGAGTCCGCGCTCTCCCAACGGCGCGCCCGGGAGCCGCCCCAGGAAGCCGCAGCCGAGAGCGGGGCCCTGTCAGCAGGAGGGAAGCTGTGCGATTTCAAACGCAACAGGAGGGGGCCGGCCGGAGAGCAGGCGAGCCCAGCTGGCCCCCAAAAGCCGCCCGGCGCGCGATGCGTGGCCTGCCAAGGCCGGTGAGGATGCGGGGGCACATCCGCCTCGCAGGGCAGTTGCTTAGGTTGATTCACCGCTTTCTTTCATCTGCGACGTCCCAGCCAAAGCAGCTTGAAAGCGGCGTGTCAGGCAGCCGTTACCCAGAACAAAAACGCCGTCGTGCGTGTGAAGGGCGGTCATTCTTCCCCGCACAGCTCGGTGTTCGGGGCCCCCCGTCCAGTCCCTTGGCCACCACCTGCGCGGCCTCCCCAGCACCTTCCTTGTTTCGGTGGCACAGGCTGGAGGAACTGAGGCACAGAGGTTAAGTAACGCATCCAAGATTTTACAGCTGGAAGGCGGCGGAGCTGGGATTTGAACCGCAGCGTGGCCAGGGCGCCGAGATGGAGGGCGGGCGCCGGGGACAGGCCTCTGGGCCAGGGGCGCTCAGCTGCGAGCTGCCTGCCGGCTCTCACCTTAGACACTGCCCTCCTGCGGCGCCTTCTCCTTCCCAGTGACCTTTCGCCTCCCGCGAAAAGTCGGCCGGGACTCAGCCACTTCTTCCCGAAGCGCCTGTGTGGCGCTGTCCCCCCGGGGCCAGGTCGGTGCCGACTTGCGCGCCATCCCTGTCGGTGCCGTTTACGTAGAAACACCCGGGAAGGAAGGAAGAGGCGGCTGCTCCCGCGGCCGGCCGCCCCGCCTCAGCTCCGCCCGAGGCGCGGGCGTTAACTGGGTGGAACGGCTACGCCTCCCACCCCAGTACCTGCGCTGGGACCACGGGTTCCCCCGCATGTGGTCTCAGGGCCTCTTTGCACTCACAGGTTGTGGGGACCCACGGACCTCCGTGTGCGTGGGCCGTGTTTGCCTGTTTACCACACAAGGAATTACGGCAAAGGCTCTGAACAGAACCCACAGAGACGCGTCCCATCAGCCGCCAGGGCACCGATGGCACCGCCTCGCACGGAGCGTCCAGGGACCTCCCGCGTCGTGAGGCTGCGTGGGGAAGGGCAGGCAGCATCTTAGCGCTCTCAGGAAGGCAGCTCTGACTCCGCGGACCCCTGAGAAGATCCGGCCCCCGCAGGGCCTGGGCCAGCCTTCGGGAACAGCCGCTCCACAGAGCGGCGTGCCGATGGCCTCCTCTCCAGCAGCCGCGACGGTCAGGGCCTGTGTGCTCACTCCCTCTCGCGGCGCGAGACCGCCTCCCGGCGCCACGGCGACACACCCTGCGGGCCTTCCCTGCGGCTCTGCTTGGGGTCCGCGGGGCCGAGGCCACGGTGACAGCCAGGCAGGCTCTGCCCCCAAGGCCTCAGGTGGCCACGTTGGGCGCACCTGCGGGAACCCCCCTCCCATCAGCACAGGCTCAACTGCTTAGGGACCGTCGTGCGTCGACCAAATGCCTTTGGCCGCATTGATGTCCCACGATGAGGGGAGTCGTGTCCCCTGCCCCCCCTGCGTGACACGCGTGGGTCCTGCCCACACCTCAGCAGAGGGGACTGTGCGGGTGTGCACATCGCCCGTGGGTCGCGGCGGGCCGCCTGCGACGCGGCCAGCCGCAGCAGGCCGGGGATGTCAGCTCTGTGTTGGGAAAGTCACTTCCAGCCTTTCACTGAGACCGGCACGCCCCCGCCTCGGAATCCAAGTCCTCTGGCTCCGTGCCTCAGTTTACCAGGCTGCCATGAGGCGTAACACGGGCGCCTGCCTGTAGAGCTGCTGCGAGTGTCAAGCTGGAAGACACAGTTGCCACCCTGGCTCAGAGCCCGGCACGCGCTCGGGCTCAGCAGCCTCGCGTCTCCGTAACCACGGGGCGTCCGCGGGATGGAAGGGGCCTGAAGGACGGGCCTCCTTCCACTGAGAAGCCCCTTGCCCCTTTCAGTCCGGCGTGAAACAGCGTCCCCACACCCTCCTCACTGTCCCTCGTGGGAGGGCCCCACCCACACAGAGCCAGGACGACGAGGCCGGGCCTGCTCCCCGGCTCTGTGTCTGCATGCCTCTGTGCGCACGGCGCCTTCCCAGGGGACCTGGCTGCCGAGGGCGGGCACGGCCTGACTTGGGCGCTTCAAACGCTCGCCCTCTGCGTGCTGGACTCAGGGACGCACCTGAGGACCCTGCCCCCAGGCCGTGGGACCCAGGCCGCCCCGAGACCCCTGTATCTGCGCCCTCCCGCCGCCTCTGAGCAGGCTCGAGGCGCTGAGGTCCAGGCGCCGGACGTGGGAGGGGAGAGGCCTCCAGATGGCTCCAGCCCTGTCGTGGGGTCACCGCCAGCCCCTCTGGTCCCCGCAGCCCGCACTTGGGCACCAGAGAGAGAGAGAAGCCCCCTTCTGCGCCCATGAATTCCTACCCCAGGGTCCATGAGCAGAATTAACGGCTGCTTTTTTCCATTAGCGAGTTCTGGGAGGATTTGCTACAAAGCAATAGGTAATTAGCACAAGAACCTTCCAGAAGGAGCCAGTCCCTCCCCGTGCAGTTCCTTTGACCTGCAACTAGGAGAGGGGCCGACTTCTCACCCCCAAAGCAGAAGGAGGAAGAGGATCGCTGGCCAGGGAGGCAAAGGCCCTTTGTTCCCTGCTCCCCAGCGGCCGGCGGCGGGATGCAGAAGCCGGCGGGTTTAACCACATGCACATGGATAAGCAAACGGCTGGACTCCACTCCAAATCTCTTTTCCTTTCCCGTATGACGGAGGGCTTTTTTCCACTCTAATAAACTTCAGCATTTAAACAGAAGTCATGTGTCCCATGAATGACGATCCGCAGCAAGAATGTAGCGAAGGAGCGAGCCGCCGAGCACGAAGCCTCAATTAACAGCCAGGACATTCGACTGGAAATCGGAACAATGTTTCTGGCAAAGAACTGTGAAATCCTTTTCCTGTGTAACTTGGAATCCTTTTCTCCGCCTCACCCCTCCCCGCCCCCAGCACAGTCTATTGAGAAGAATGATTTGAAATTCAATGGCTATCAAGAGAACTTTGTCAAGTTCTGAGTTGACTGAAGTACAAGAATCTTTCAGCGACATCGAGCGGGGCCACCCTCCCCAGCTCCGGGTCCTCCTGTGACTTGCCGAAGCCCAGAAGACGCAAGCCGAGACCGTTCCGCAATCCACCGCGCAGCAGGAGGGGCGGCCGGAGGGTCTGGAATGACAGTCTTCTCTCTCGAAAATGAAAAGGGAAAAGAAGTTTCACTCTTCAAAGGAAAGGGAAGGAAAACAGGACTTTTATGGAAACACCATATACAGAGTTGGCAGGAGTTCAGCAAGCATAAAAAGAACCTAAAATGTCCCCTTGTTCAGCTCCAGCCCCTGGCAGCCAAGTTCAAGGAGGCTCCATTTTCAAGCCGATTTGCCGAGTCCTCGGGACCCGTGAACGTGCCAGCCCCCCAGCTCCCCGCCCCCGCCCCCCCGTGGGCCCTGACGCCCCGATGGGAAAGCCGAGTCCAAAGAGCCAGATGCACCCGGAGCTTAGCGTCCATCACGATCTCACGGGAAACGACGCATCGATGGCTGGAGTGGGGAAGGGTCCGAGGTTCGGCTCCAGGGGCATCGCCGGGGCGGGGCGGGCGGGGCGGGTCAGCCCTCCTGGACGCCGGGGACCTGGGGGCGGGGGTGCACAGGGCACCTCGCCCCAAACTCGCTCCT